GTTGATACTTGATAATATAAGAAATATTCACACAGTATTTTTCTAAATATAGAACGAACGCGGCAGCTTGCGAAGAAACCCACTGGCCACCGCCATAATTTTGTATTTTTATTATAAATTATAATCAATAGGTAATCATTATTATTTTATGCCTATACTGCCGAAGTCGAGCATAGTTTATTAATATATCACAGTTATTCTCTACGTACCTATCGTGCGCGTTTGTGTACCGCTGTAGGTATTCATTTTTACGGTTATTTTCATTTGTGACTTGTGTTTGTGTACCTAATGGAAATGAATAATTTTGATATTTCATCTGCGTCAGTGGAAATACTCACAGCTGCAGATGATTTTTCAGACGAAACCTCTCTTTTAGATATATTAATTCRGTTGAAAGGCGAGTGTTTTTTCAATACATTCATCGGTAAGTTGATATTTAATTTATTATTATAGATATTATAGACAATATTATATACCTACGTAGGTATACGTAATACGTATTATATATAATATACTTACACATAGTATAAGTGCCAAGGGCTGATTCAAGGGATAATTACTAAGACTTAAAAATTAAAATATTTTCATAGAATATGGGATTTCAGTAGAAAGCTTAAGATACGCGAACAGTCAACATTTAAATACCATTTGTCCGAATAATATGTATGGTCAGCGAATCATTTTTGAAAACAATTTAAAAATATGGCAATCTACTATAAACACAGGGGTATGTTGCCTACTTAMTTACTTCCAACTCTATGAAAGAGGTGATCTACTAAATTATTTTTTTAAATGTTAATTGTTAACTAAATAGGGAGAAGTTGTAACTACTACAGAAAGTTATTCATCAGATTCCGCAGAAAGTTCTAACAGCTCAGCATGTGCAAAAGCAGAGGTACCTACCTAATTCTTGTTTCATTCATAATATTATATATAAATATCATAATCATTAATTAACAACAGAGGTGCAGGTTTGAAAATATTATATTTAGTGGTGCAATACAAAATAGATCTCCCCACAACCACAACAAATAAATAAGTATACCTATTTTTTTATGTATGTAATTGTTTAGTAACTCCAATTAAGTTGTTCGCACACTTTCCATGTTAACTTTGCACAACGATTCTGTCATGGTTTTGTACTTTATTAATAAAACAATAAATTTAAAACATTGTTTTTAAAAATGAATCAAATAATAAAATAAAATAGGTACCTACTATTTATTCATTTTGATCATTTGATTAATTTTTTWWAAAAATATTTTTAATTATTGCATAATTTTTAAGTTTTATGAATTGGTAGGTCCTTACATTTTAAATATTCAAATATACACTATA